GAGAGAGAGAGAGAGAGAGAGAGAGAGAGAGAGAGAGTGAGAGTCTCTCTGTGTGTCAGTGTACGTATGTTTAGAAAGGGTTTCATTTCATAATTTTTAATATATATATATATAAAGCAGATCATTCATGCAAAGGCCTATGTGTATTTGGTGGGAACTTATCCAGCGTTAACCTGCAGAAATAATCCCCAGCCCTGGGGTTTTTGGAGAGAAAAAAAATCAGAAAGGCTGTTGTAAATTGTAAAGATTGGAACGCCGATCATGCGCAGTAGGCAAATGCCTCTTTGATAGGAATTTAATATTTGTAAGCTGCTGCACCCACCTTTGACCTTGATAATAAACCAGGAAAAAAGTTGTAAAGTTGATCGGGCTATGAAGCCAACAGAGTTGCACCGAGAAAGACAATAGATGAATAGTCTAAACAAACACTCTTTATACCTGTTTACAAAAGTCGCTTTTGAGAGTATGAAAACGTTCAGCTTCCTAATCGGATCTCCAGAATTTAATCGGATTTCCAGAATTTAATTGCATTGCCTTCAGGACGACATGACGGCGCGCGCATATTTTTTCATCGACGTCATTTCCGAAGTCTGCCTTCATCCACGTCACATTGCTGGTGAACTAGGCGGAAATCGATTTTAGAATGGCACAAAGAGGTTATAATAGTACTAGAGGTCGCAGCTGTGACGTCACCCACGCAAACTCACTAAATATGGCTGTGTGAGCCAACTCAGCTCGCTTTGTCGCCATTTTTGAGAGGATTAGAAACAGCGCTGTCACTCTGCGCGTTGCTCGCAATGCCTAGGTCTTCGTAGAGTTTGAAGCTCAGTTCAGATTTGATTTAAGTTTTCTTTTTATTTGCTTTTGTTGCTTAATCATATAAAATACGCGCATACACAATACTGCGTGCATGCACCTGTCGACTGGTTGAGGGAAACCTAAATGCACTTAAATAAATGTGGGCTACAAATTAACTTAGAGATATAATATTAGGTATCGTTTGTTTTTCCCGGGTTGGGTGGAGGGAGACAAAGTGAGTAATTGAGTTTGTTAAGAAAAGGACAATTTCATACTAACAAAATGGATTGCTTTTATGTCATGTTGTCTATACTCTCCTTCTACTGAAGCAAAGCCTAGGTCTTCATAGAGTATGTAGGGGTTAAGACTGGGTTAATTAGGGTTAATTTGTTATTGTCTCAAAATGAACATTTTCAGTTGGTAGGACATTTTGAATTTTGCCCGAGTGGTGGCCGAAGCCTACTCTTATCGATTTTAGACCGCCAAGGGATCTTTGACGTCGTAACTTGCACACGGGACCTCCATGATTGTTCGCCCTTGTCCGAGAAGACTAGGTGTAGATCTTTCCTACCAAAAGGTCAGGGGTGGGGCTGAAAAACAGAGCAGTAAGAAGGAGCCAGGGAGTAGCAATAGAAAGAATGCAGAAAGAGTCAGGAGCCCAGAGGAAAAAAAGGAGGGGGGGGGGGGGGCAGAAAGTGGAGATGAAATCAGACGACGGGACATTGCTAGAGAGCAGGAGGGGATGTGAAAGGAGACATTTTTAGAGAAGAAATGTTTTCAGTCGCTACCCGGATTCGAATGAGAGGCGAACACATTAACCTCTAGGCCACGAGAGCCTCCGACGGTAACTTCACAATATCAGAATCACAAGGTCAAGCAGTTACATAATTGTAAGGCGTTTCTTTTAGGTTTCCACAAAACTTTTCAGCCGGTAGTTGAGGCAGGAAGACCAAGAAAGACCTGGCTGGGTGATGTTAAAAAGGTCCTGGAAAAACATAACATATCCACCACAGACGCTACACATCTAGCACAGGACCAAAACTTGCACCTCCCATCGACATCCTAATAAGGATACCAGAGGAAGGAAAAAGTAAAATGTAAGTAAAGTAATAATATAGGTAAAAGGGCACGCGCAGTTTTGATTAAAATACGTTTTTCTTTTGATCCCAATTTCACCTTTTCATGTGGCACTCGTGGAAAGTGCATATCTCAACAACCAAAACCTAGAAACGTGGCATTTCGATATCACTATAACTTATTTGCGCTAATAGATTTCGATAAACGTATGCATGGGTTCAAGGTGCACATGTGGTTTCAAAAGAATGTTCCGCTGACATGTATTGAAAAGAACGTTTATTTATAGAAAAGGTCTCGAGAGCGAACTTTAAGTACAATATTATATAATATATAATGTGTGTTTGTATATTTTAAAAAATAAATATATGTATGCAGGATGTTATGTTTAATGTTTACAGTATATTATAAATCGATCTATTTATCTATGAGTGTGTGTTTGTGTTTGTATTTGTGTTTCCCAATTTCACATTTTCATGTGGCACTCGTGGAAAGTGCATATCTCAACAATCAAAACCTAGAAACGTGGCATTTCGATATCACTATAACTTATTTGCGCTAATAGATTTCGATAAACGTATGCATGGGTTCAAGGTGCACATGTGGTTTCAAAAGAATGTTCCGCTGACATGTATTGAAAAGAACGTTTATTTATAGAAAAGGTCTCGAGGGCGAACTTTTAGTACAATATTATATAATATATTATGTGTGTTTGTATATTTAAAAAAATAA